TTCGAAAAATTTATTCTTCTTTTTCTCGTCGGTCCCCACCTTAGAAGACTTCGGGTTAAAGTTAAAATCGGGGACCGACATGGCTTCTTCAGCTATGATGTGTTGCTGAGCTCGAGCATGAAATTCTTGAAAAGTGTTTGGTTTATTTTGGCACAGTGTCCAGCGGAAGATCGAATTCGGTTTCAGTCCGGCTATAACCATGACAAGTAAGGTTTCGGGGTGACAAGGTTCCATGTTTTGAACTCGGTCATTAAATCGGGCGATATAATCCTTGACACTTTCATCATCTTTCTGAGTTACATTTGCAAGAGATTCTTTTGGAATTAAACAGACTTGAGCCCCGATGAAATGAGATCGGAAAGCCGACCTCAGTTGTTTCCACTTCCAAATTGAATGGGGAGGAAGAGAATGGTACCATTTTTGGGCCCGAGGCCCCAGCGTGAGAGAAAACATACGACACTGGAGTGCGTCTGAGGCCCCATGCAGATCCATCCACGAAGTATAATGACCGAGGTGCGAGTCAGGGTCTGACGTTCCATCGAATAGCCCGATCTGGGGGACTTTGACTTTCCCAGGCACAGGTTCCGAAGTGAGCTCCGGAGTGAGAGGGGAGTCGGCTTCCAAATATACTTGCGCCGAGGTTGAGGCCCGCCGAGGGGGGTCTTCGGGTGCCCGTTGCCGACTTTCCAATTCGGCGATTCTTCGTCGCAATGTTTCAAGTTCGGATGACTCTTGACGAGCCCGATTTCGTTCTATGTGTTGCCGAAGGTCGGTCTGCGCCGGGTTGGAGGGGTTTCGGTGCTGTGCATGAGGCGGCGACCGTCGTGAATGACCAGACTGGCTTTCGGCGGTTTCTTCATGAGGAAGTATAGGAGGATTGCGCCCGACGTCGGTGCGACGTGTGGTTTGTTCTGGAGGTGGTTGCGACGCTCTATCACGAGGTTGAGAGGTTGCGTGAGACGTAGTTCTTCCGCCGTCTCGCCGCATCAGTGGATTCTGCGGATTTGCAGGAGTCTTTGGTATTATAGAGTGTCCCGGGGCAGTCGTCGATGTGTCGGGGATCGTTTGAGCCATCAGAGCGGCGAAACCACGTGCAAACTCCGGATTTTGAAACATAACAGTATAATCCGGTATAGGGGGAGCTACGGCCTGCCGTCTGGCGGATTGGGCAGCGCTGCGACTGTGGCCATCTCGTGAAGTATTACCACGATGATCTGAACGAGACATAATGGATATGGCTGATGTGAATCGTTACTTGAGAAAGCGGAGATTAACCTCAAATCACTTATGAGGCCCTTCCTCTAGCGCCAAACTGTTGTCGTATGATTCTTAACAACGATTTAAGGTGGAGGTTATGAGAAAATTTCAAGTGGTTTAAACGTAAAGCATGTAAGGATAATTCAACAATGGCCTCGGTCCGAGGTGGACCGAGGTGAAAAGCCTTTATGGGCTATTGCGTGTTGCATATTAACGAGTTCGGGATCCTTTGTACAAGTGTCATAGGGTAGCTATTTATAGTAGCTTTTTATGTACATATCGGGATCTGTGCATTTGCTTTTTCATAAAGCTACTTTTTGGTGGGCGGCGAGACCTGTGGATCCCACTTTAATGATGTAAAATCTTGTAAGTCGCGATAAGAGTGCGTAGGCGCCTTGTCACCTGCTTTAGGAGGTGATGACTTCGGTTCATGTTGACCCCGGTTTGGAATGACCTCGGAGAGAATGAGTCACTTCGGTCTCCTTGAGTCGTATCGGTTTGTTGTGCGAACCGGGATGACGTGTCAGTCAAATTCGCTTACAGCACCGTTTTTAAGGTCCTTAATTACACTTTTACCGAGTCGGGTGATAACAGGATGTTAGGGAGATATCAGAGTAATCCAGGTATTGGAGAGCTGCAAAGAAGGTGCTAAGGTAGCTTCAAGTTCATAAAAGTGAAAGTGCCGAAGTCTTCACCGTTGTCTTCTACAAGTTCTTCAAATAACTCAAGTACACAAACAAGCAATGGCTGGAGGTATGTAATCTCAATCATTCCGCTGCACCGATATATGATTGAATCGGATAAATATTCTTACATTTGGTATCAGAGCAGAGTTTAATCTTTCTCTTGCTTGTGTTATGTATATTTTTAAATTTGAGTTATTATCCATGACATTGTGATGATATTAAATTTGTTGATTATTTAATTTGTTCATGGAAAGTTATTTTGGGATTTGAATATAGAATTTGATAAATTTCATGAATATATGTGATGTTTCCTGCTAACTTTTAATATATGTGATGTTTCATTCGAACTTTTCATGAATATATGTGATAATTTGTTCATGGAGTTTATTAAGTTGCAACTCTCACCAGCATGCCATCACTCTATGCATTTTAATGAACTTAATTTATTGTAATATTTCATGCGAACTGATTGTGTATATCAAATGCTGTGATTTTATATATTAAATGCTGAAATATTATTTTAAGACTAATATGTTTATGCTTGAGTTATTTGTATGCTTTAAATTTATGGATCATGCATGCAATAAAATTATGTTTGTCAAGCATGTTAAATATATAACTCACAGATGAATTGTTTAGATTTACAATTATAAGAGTTATTGTTTTATGTTATGTGGTGAATATAATGTTTAATTAATTAAGGAGTAGCCACAGCATCCTTATTTGATTGAAATTATATATAAAATTTGTTAGTAACCACATATAGATATATAACATAAGTTGTGATTTTTCATATAAAATATGGTGGATCTTATCTCACAGGAATTTCTACTATATTAGTGCAATTAATTAGGATAAAATATTAAACTAATTTTCTAATTTGCCCACAGGAATTAGACAATGGTGGTAATTTGATAGTTTTATCATGAACTTTGTAAATCTAATTAAATTAAAACTTTAGCCCACAACCAAGTTTTATGTCACTAGATTTATATTTAGACATGTTCTATATTGATATAATATGTCATATTGTTTTTGTTAGTTTCAATTTTGTTAATATGAGCATGATTATTATGTATGTTGCAGTTATTCAACCTGTTAATCACTCTGATATAAAAATTGATGTTCCTGAGCTCAATGGGGACAATTATAAATTTTGAAAGGAGAAAATACTTCTTCATTTGGGGTGTATAGACATTGACTATGCCATTAGGAAGGACGAACCAACTGCTATAACTGATAAAAGAGAGACCTTTTATAACCAGTGATACGCTTTGGCATAAAAGTACCTTTTAATATATAGTACCTTTTGGTATAAAGGCACCTTTTGATATAAGGTACAATATCTAATGATTAATTCTATCTATCATAAAATTAATAGGTGATTAACAGTATTTGTACTCTTTATAAATAGAAACA